AATACAACATAGGCAGGTCAGTAAGACACACAATGGGTTTACAATCCTATGATACAGACCTCCAGCAAGGTCACTGCATACTGTCCGAGCTCCTATTATAAATATTATAGTAATAACTCATTTGATTATTAGATGACATGTCCTGAGAGCACCGCGGATGCGCACAGGGACGCAGACGCACCAACGGACACATGCGCCGTCCAGCCAACGCAGGCAGCACAGCGCATATAAAATGTAATGGTGCATTATAAGGAAAGGAAACATGTAAGGGGGAGATGTCTTCTGAATTATTCATTGATCGCGATCACTTGTTGATACTAGTGCTGCTTTCCAAAATGAAACCAAACGCACCCATTCCACTGGGACTCATTATAGCAGGCCTGGATTATCACTGTGGTTGAATGTAGCATTAAACCGGCTCCATCCGTGAGAAATATTGTAGCATCCATGTACAAATGTGTGACAGGAGTGTGAACGGGAGCGTCAGCTGTTGCGTAACCGCCGTTCAGATTTATTTAACATCCTATAAATAGGAAGGTAGAGACCGCAGATGCACGGGCAGCATGTATAAGCTGCATATGCATCTAAAAAGCACCCAACTTTTCCTCTTTTACGCACGGAGACGCAGCCTTTGTTACCCTGCGCCTTCATTGATTTACTACTGATGTAACTGTAACGCAAGGAGTCCTTTATCGGACAAGCTTTGCGGCCACACATCCATTATCGGACAGGTGTTTGGCTACCGTGCTTGTCATTTCTCCAGTTAAAATTAACCCTTTTTTTAAAATCTCTATCACCGACAGACTGCACTGAGCTGGGTTCAGTTTCCCTGTTTATTTCTGCGGTCACAGTCGGTAGCGGGGATGTCCGATGATGGAACTAGGCGACGTTACCTTGGGCATCTCCTCCGCTGGTCAGCACCCCGATGGATTTGCCAGCCCCGGACAGATTCTCGAAGAATTTGCGGGTGTCCTGCCGCTTCGGTGCCACCGCGCCTGCCATGCCTGTGCCGGGTCCCTGTCACCTGCCAGAAAGTGTGAACACACAAAGCAACACAGCGAGCCTCTGACAGCGTCCGAGACAGCAGATACTGTAGTAGGACTGCAGTGGTCACCGCCCTCAAGCTCCATGTACACACACACCCCCCCTCACCGAAGATCGTGCATTGAAGAAGATGGCTCACTCCATGTTTATTTCTTTTTTTACTTGCATGTGTAAATTACACAGTGTAGAATTTCAGTTCAATTAAAAAACACTTTACAGAACATTTTCACCCTTATAGTCTGTAGGGCCAGTATTGATTGCAAAAGCTCTTCTGTGGTTAATGTTAATTACATAATGATCATTACTGCCGTTAGAAAAATACTATAACAAATAAGTAAAAATGATGTTGTTGTGTATGTGTGTATGTATATATGTGTACAGAGAGCACAGTGCAGGTGTATGGGTCCAACTCCAGTTTATTATTCAAAATAACCAACAGTGATTGTAATAAATTCATAAAAACAACTTAAGATAAAATTATTGTTTTTAGTTCTGGCTATAAAAGGCGAGTTTATTGTAATCAAAGTAAAGTTAATAATGGAGAATATTTGTATTGTTTTTCCTCTTTTTCCACCCAGTTGCTGTCACAGATGCAGAGTGAGAGGTCTTCACTTTTTTCTATCTTTCTTTGGCTCTCACGACCTTTCTGAGCCAAAGCCAGAAGCGTACAGCCAATCACAGCGGTGTCTTACTGATTGACAGCTGAATCCACCAATGGGCGTCCAGATCACGTACTGTGGGAATATACATATTCCAACCAACCGCAACCGACACTCAGTCTTTTCAGTCAGGAAATAATAGACTTCCAGTAACAATTCATACGTTTATTTGGAATACAAACACTAAGAAAGTGTTGTAACAGCATGAACAGTTAACATAATGCAACACAAAGAGATTAGATTATTAGAATGAATTATGTAACGCCAGCAACAAAGAACTGAATACAGACACATCAATCTCAGATACTACTGATATATTTATGGTCCAAAGTCATTTTTAATGTATTTCTTATATTCTAACGTCCTGATATTTGCATGCAACCGCTCTAAATAATTATTACATGATCATTTTACACTTTAAACCACAAGTTAGACAGAATTCATGACACTTAACTGAAGTTCATGACCTTGAGCAATCCTCCTGCATGCTGCAGGCTTTATCTCAGTGACTGTATCTTTCCCAGCACAGTATGGCATCTCACGCTCCAGCCATCAGTTGTTCTGTTTCGTAACATTCATGACAAAAAAAAGGTTTTATTTGAGAGTAAGTTGGAGCCGTTGCTGTGCGATTAGATTGGAGGGGCCACGCAGGGGACATCAGGGACTCGAACAGTTTCAAGTTCCTTTCTGTGGAGACGAGTCTTGGGAAGGCAACGTTATATCATATGTGGTAAGTCCTCCTGACTAAAGACATCTGGCTGCTCCTCACTTCTCCAAATGCAGGCTTAACATTTGAAATAAGGAACTTCTTGAACACCACATGAGTCTGGGTGTGTCTTTATAAACAGCTATAAACAGTGTTTCTTATCTTACATTCAAGATTCCTATCCAAATATCAGACTCACTTTCATTGGATGAGTTAATTTAAATGAAAAAAAAAATGTTGAAACTGATTATATTTAAACTTTTAAGTGACACTGGCTTAATGTATGTATGTATGTTTAAAACATGTTTAAAAACAACTTGTTTGAGTTAAAATAACTTATTGCATTACAGTGACTCCAGTTTTATGTTGCTGTCCACAAATCTAAAATAAACATGTGAGGATGTTTAATAGGGAAATATGATTTGGCATTGTGTCTATAAAAGGCGGGGACTTCATTATCACGCTCCAGAGCTGCTGGATCCTACACTTCCCATAATGCAACTGAAAGCCTTTAAAATCGTTATTACACATCTTTTAAACTTCATGTCCACAGTTTGAAACACAGACTTTCTGTGTAGTCTGCAGGGACAAGGTCAGTGCACCGTCCCCTCAGAGTCAACGAGTATAGAAAGAGGTCAAGGTTGTGGGATCAGGTATCATAGGTTAGCTTAGCTTAGCTTTTATCATTCACAGAAGCCTGGCAGTGGTTCTCAACCTTTTTCTCAGATATACCTGCACAGTCCTGTCTTATGACCACAGGTACTCCTTAATCAATACCACCAATCATGTTCCAAATGTGTGAATTTGAACTGATTTTAAACTGGATGTTATTTAGCACTATAAAGGATTAGATTTTATTTGACCAGTTGAACTGTCACTGTTTTTGCTTGAACTTTGCATTAAAGTTGAAGTTGTGGCACAAACTGGATGCTTTAAGTTTACTATTTAGATTTTTCTACTACTAAATTTTCACACAATTTTTAAATAAATTGTAATTTCTATTATTTTTTTTAAATGAGTTGAGTTATTCCACTCCTTTCACATACCCCCTGGTAACTGCTGAAGTACCCTCTGGGGTACACGTACCCCTAGTTGGAAATTACTGGCATATTATACATAAACAATATAATATATATAAATAAACTGTATATATTTAGACATCCAATTAAAAACTAACATAAGAACCCAAAATAGTTAATTATATAATATATTCTAACTTAAAACATCCCATGTGAATAGAATATTTAATAACCTTATATTTTGTTTAGGCATTACATTAATTAATAAAAAGTAAAGTACAATATTATATATATATATATATATATATATATATATATAGGAGAAGTATATTTATTATAATTTTGTAACTTACATTTCTTTTAGGATTAATAAAGACACTACACTAATGAGATTAATATAAAAATGGATGCAAATGATGGGAACTTTTGAGAGAAAACAACAAATACAAGAATATGATCAGTTGTTATACCTAAAATCCCTAGAAAATGTCGCCCCCTGCTGATCTAAAGCAAGCATTGCACACACAGGGAGAAAAGTCATTTGTAACAGATTACAGTGATGAGGCATCATTAGTTTGCAGGTGAATAAAAGTCTTTTCATACATTCACTGGGAGGCAGTCAGTGTCTGGTCTGGGTCCTATAGTGGATGAAATAATTAGACAGAAGGAGTCCCGCTCAATAAAAATAATTTATTTACAGTGGCATGAATCATAAATTAACAAGCAGCAATTGGCAAAAGCAACATTAGAGTCGACAGCTTGCATAAAGTGGTGTGAACGTCTGGACTTTTGCATAAGAAACACACTCACACTCTGAATAAACTGTATGTACTGGACTGTGTCACCGCTGAGATATTTAATACGAACTCCAGGGCAGAGAAAAGAAATCTCTTGAACTGCAAACAGTGATCTTTAAACGGCTACACTCTTCTTCTGCTTTGACATATTGCTCTGATTTACCATTTTACTGTGGAACACTTTTTTATCAAATAGTACAACTTATAGCAGATCACAAATTAACTCAGGAATACACTGGCCGGATCATTGCGTATTTAGCCTTTGAAAATATTCTAAAAAGGGGCAAAAGGTGTGTTTTATATGTCTCTGTGAAGGTTAAGTAACTTTACTCGATGATTATTTGAATTATTATGCGATTTCTGTCATTAAATCTGACCTGCACTAGCTCTTTTAAACAGTAACTCCCTGCCTACTGTTGTGTAAAGAAACATTTCAGCTATAAAGGCTATAAAGTCTCCGTGTCAAGCTACAAAAAGCATGGTGACATATTTGTTCAGCACTAGATGATTAAATATCCTGATGACCTCTGGCCCCAATGCAGAAACATATGTCCTGCATTGCTGTTTTATGCAGACCAGTATCACACCAGTGAGATCTTAAAGCCACTAAGTGTAGGATTAGATCATTTCTGACTTTGGCGCCATCCAGTGGTCACAAATCACAAAAGACACCTCAACCCAGGGACAGATAATGCTTGATGGCACCTATTTACAATTTTAAGATGCCATTTATTACATTAGATAAATTCTACATGTAGTGGCTTTAAACAGGAAAAAGAAAAACTGTGAAAAAAAAATTAAAAAAGTAAATGTGAACAGTTTTAACAAAGATCTGAGTGAAATATAACTTAAACAGCCAAGTGACGACATCTTAATTCTTACATTCCTTCTATTGAGTATAATAGATTTTTCTTTTTAATACACATTCAATCAGTGTAAGTTTTGGACCACTTTAGAACGTTTTATTTAGGGAAAATCTTTCTACGGCTACAAAAATTAACATTTGAGAGCTTCTTTTATTAAATGAAAAAAAGAGATTTGGAGAAAAATATTATTTAAAAAAAAGCTTTTGGAACTGAAAGTGAAAAATTCAAAATATACACAGCATTTTTCTCAATATTGAACTTTAGAAGCATTAATGTAAGAAAACGGGTGCTTAATCTTAGTAGTATTATCACTGGTTATGTTATTAATGTCATTTACAGGCCACCGTAACTCAAAGTGTTGTTGGTATAGCTTGTTAAGATACACTGACGTTACTGCAGGTCACCGACAGAGACCAAAGATTACTTAATGCCCCTTTAAAAACACTGCGTTAAACGGTGCAACAGTACCGTGCAACTACAGACGAAATCATTTGCTAAATGTTTTGATGCTAACACAGAATTACTGTCATTTCCATGAGTTCACACACAAGTTAACACATATTGTTCGGTGTCACTTCTGGGGGGGAAACAATATAAAAATCCTGGTCGTCTAATTAATCATTACACCTACAGTATGAAGTGGTAAAACACTCACTCAGCAGTATGTGACACATATAATACATCTGTAAACCTTACAGTTACACACCAGACAGAGAATCACAGATCTAAGGCATTATGCTTTGTCTTTAGCATCTTAAGGTACTTACATGAATTACAGTATTTTGCAATTGGTAAAATATCCATCTATGGATTAAGAAAAAAAATCTTCAATATACTGTATAAGTCAAAATCAAGAGAAAATAATTCACCTTCATCTAAAACATTAGGAGTTACTGTACATGAGCATTTACACCCGCTCTTGATTGCCTTAAACCTTTGCAGAGAGTTTGACATTCAGGACATTTGCATGGCTTACATATTCTCTTCGAGGTTCTACAATAATTTACTGTCACTGAAAGCTTAAGGAAAAAACGGGACATTTTCTAAAATAATAATAATAATAATAATAATAATAATAATAATGTTTTCAGTGTTTCTTTTTGCAGTCAGTGTGCATTTTCACATTCTTCTTTTGGGAAGAAAAGTAATCATTGTTACAGTATGTGCTTTACACATTTTCTGGGCCATCTAACCAAGCAGAGAGATTCAACACATCCAAATTGCCAGTTACAGTCAGTTTTGCCCACAATTACAAGCTTATGTATGAGACAGCACCTAATGAATAGATAAGAGCACCTTAATCAAAATACTCGAGGTCCAGTCTGTATTAAGATTCATATAACTTTGGACAGTGAAGGTTCTGGGTCGCCTGCTCGTCTTTGTGAAATAGAAAGCTTAAATTTAGGTATTATATTATTATATTATTTATAAGGTCAGACTTTAACCATGGCGCAAAACTTAACATCCTCCTGAGACTGGTTTTAATTTGTGTTCATCATTAGTATATAGAATAGGTAGAGACTGCCGTGTCATTCAAAGATCACAGCTTCACCCACAGAAAGACCCAAAACAACAACAACAACAACGACAAACAACACACTTCTGAATTGTCCTTGAGCATGACAGAGAGCTTGAGCTAAACGCCTGTAATGCGAGAGCGACTCTTGCAGGCCAGTACATCGCAACCACAAAGTGTCATTTCAAAATGAATCGCAGTAGCATGACGTTTTATTATTTATAGTTTTTTTTTTCTTTTTTTTAGAGGCAAAGCTGCTTTGCAGGCAGAAATATTTTCATTGGTCAAATCTCAGTGGGCGGACAGTCAGACATTGTGCCAGTGTTAGCATGCTATCACTTAGTAATGAGCTCTAAACAGTGCAGCCGAGGCTGATGGGAATGTCATTACTTTTATTTTTGACCAAAGGCAAATTAAAATGTTGGTGAAGTGTCAGGGGGATCAAAGCTATTACATTTCCTGCAGGGGATTTCTGATCCATTCTGGAAATTCAATTGCTATCCCGCCACAGCTAGAAGCAAGAGCTAAACGCTAGGAAAGGAAATACTATGAACCGTAGCATTTAGCTTCTTAACCAGAAAGCTTCAAGCTACTGGTACTGGGTAGACAAAGTTAGCTAGTTAGTGTAGCTAAACTTTCAATTTCAAAATAGCTCTAGCAAAATAGCAAGGTAGCTGATTTCTAGCTAGTAAAGCTAGGTAGCTAGCATACCAAAACTTTAGGATGGTCACAAGAGCATGGAAAAATACATTATTTAAATTTTAACCTTCAAATAAGCCAGTTAATTTACTGGCACTCTTATTATTTATCTCCAACGCACTGAGGTTTAATTCAACCAGTGAAATATTTCTGCTGAAAAATGTTTGTTGGACTAAAACTCCAAACTGCTATTTTACTATATCACTTTTGGGAAAAGGGGTATTATAAATCTAAGTATGTACACTATCTATACACGGTCACCTTCATTCAAAAAGTCATTAAATAGGGATACAGCTCCCCTGTAACTACAGCAGTTGAAATATATTAATTTTAAAATCAACATCAAAATGTACCATTTTGAGAGATTTTCTGAAAGAAAGATATTCTTGATTTTTTGTGTGTCATACAAAGAATCTCTAAAACTTCTTCAAAACTATAAATACCTGTAAAATATTTTCCATAAACCTTCTCATTTGACGTTTTCAGTCAGGCTCTAAAACTGAACCATAAAAGACCAAATCCAGAGGTTTTTGTTTATGCTTGTCAAACCATTCACTTCTTCAGCGTCAAACTGCGACATCATTTCAGTTTCACACTCAAACACTCACGAAAGATTTACCCGATCACAAAATACACTGCTTCAGAGACTTGAGAGGATGACAGTTTTCAGTGGGAATACATTCATCTGACCAGAGAACATACTACCAGCAAACACTGCGTGGGTCCTTGTATAGAAACCTGGGACTAATAACCATCATTTTATACTTGCATTTATCTAAAAGGTGCTGCGTGTAGTATTTTTATGCTTTACCATCATGCAGTTTGTTTTGATTTTGAGGCGGTATGTATGCGGTTAATAAACGTATAAAGTAAAATGGTTGCTGGTGTTTTGTTCTATCCAACTCCAGCCAAGTTAAGGCTGCTAGAGGTTAACCATCCTCCATGTGTTGATAGTAATAATTCTCTCAAAATAAACTTTATTCCACAGTGTCCAAAGATACTGTGCCAGATACATCCAGACACAATTTTAGCTCCTAGCTCTATTTTAATTTAAGGGAAAATCTGACTTTAAGATGTAAATATGATTCTTATTTTTATGTTAAAATGCTGCACAACAAAAACAAAACCTTTCAACACTTTTTTGATTCTATGTGGTTCAACAGTAAACCGTTTTGTGAACAAGTTCTGGTGTTTACAGTGTACATGTTTCAGGATGTGTGTACTAGAGTACAATATTTGTATTTTGTACGTTAAACCCTTAAACAGTGGGCAGCGCCTTTATTTATCTAAAGGCGTCTCCCTGTTTCCTGTTCTACAGTATATTCGTTTGCTGCTGTTTGCTTTTAATGAAAACGCAACACTTCCTATGAAGTCAGTTCAGGGGACATAATCCATCCATTACTCAAAATATCTTTATCGTAAATCATCTTCTGGAAGTGTTGAGTTTCACTAACAGCAGCTTCACGTCAAGAAATTTCAACAAAGTGGGCTTCAATTAATGAGTGAAAACAGCATTTTTTTTTAAAGAGAGCAACAGAGTGGAGATTATAGAGCCTGATTAAGTTGTACTGATGAAAATAATTCTGTGGAAATGTAGATTATGTTGAATGTATCCGGCACACTGTTACAGTAAAGGTACTGTTAATTTTTTAGCAGCCTTAATTTGATTGTTTGAACATGATGTACAGTATACAGATTTATATGAGCTGTATTTAATTATTGAGGATCAAAGCATTACCTACAGTTAATAGCTAAAATACAAGGTTTCCCACAAAACCCTGAATCAGCAGTGAAACAATATTCTTGTATCTTCACATTGCGCATTTGCTGTCAGGATGGTTCAGATGGCAGTTCCCCTACGAATTCTGACTTTTTGCATAAAATGTTAACTCAGCATGAAGTAAGCCACACTGACGTGAATGCAGTTCAGAAGGTTTTTACATGTCTTGGTTGTCCTCTGTCTTTAGTACCTCTGAGCTGGCTGGTGTCACAGAGTGAGCAGTGTTTCAATCATGTGTCCTCAACTCCTTGATGCTTCTCCAAGAGCTGAGCTGAGCTGAGTTGAGCAGGCGTCAAGTGTTTCTTTGCACAGGCTCCTGTGTTACCTTGTCTCAACCGCAGCCGGGGTCAGCAGAAATTCTAATTAAGACAGAAAAATTGGAATCACATTAATCATCAAGGGAAATAATAATAATAATAATAATTATATATATATAATATATAATATAATATAATAATTTGTATAATTATGGCAAGTAATATAAAAGAATGACACAGTTCTGGTTAGCCTCAGCTACCCAAGCTCTGACACATGGCAGCAATAGAGAAGTTACTTATGTTTATGATCTGAAATGATGCGTCTGTGCACGTGTGCATCCTCAGCTGTAAGTGGGCCAGGAAACTAAAGCAAATTTCACTTGAAAGGCATGAAACACCATTTAAAGAACATCTGTTTTATAAATGATTAACTGTAGTATCATTGGTGTAGGAGCAATGGAAGTTGTAACATGTACACAGGGAACAAATATGGGCCTAAAATTGAGCCCTGAGGTACACTAAATTTACAATCGCTTGAGGATAACAGGTGCAGAGAACAGGCCATCAAAATTAAACAAAAGGTTTTGTTTGAGAGTCATCATAAGGACCATCTCAAGGTGATCCTGACAGCTTTGTCTTGTGGTAAATACGTCAAGTATATAATATAGAAATGACAATGCACATCACAGAGCAGTCATTTTTGTCTCTAGTTTAGTTTTAGTTTTTATTTAGTTTTAACAGTAGATGAAAAACAAATAACATCTCTACATATAAGCTTCTGTTTACCTCTACTGACTTATTAGTGTTATTGCCTTACACATTACACATTACCTTATATGTTATTAACATCATAATATACAAGGTAATGTGTACAAAGACAACAATCTTTTACTTACAGAATTGGCTTCACCCTCTTGTGTCAACATGTCAATTCCCGCCAGCTGCCCCAGGATCAGACTGCTGTCACTCACCTGATGATGAGGAAAACACAATAAATATAAGTCAAATTGCAGTAATGAAACTGAATCATGGCCTCCAATAAGTGTATGTATAGACATGAAACAGTAAATAGCTGGCAGCTGATCTGAAATTGTGAAATATCTCACCTGCTCTGTATTCATGGAGCTCATCTGTCCCGACATCAGGTTCATGTTGCCGCCATTGCTGCCCATCACACCCAGGTTCATGTTGCTGTTGCTGTTGTACATTCCTCCGTTGGGTTGTGTGGAGTATTGTGACTGGGACTGTTGGGGGTACACACTGGAAGGAGGCAAGCTGAGTCAAAGATCATGTAAAATATTTCCAAAAAGACTCAAATCATGTTCACACTGAATCTTCTGATTTGTTATTCTGTTGTTACCTGTTGCTGGCGGAGATGTTGGCAGGTTGGGGCCATCCGTTGTGGTCGGTGCTCGCCTGGTAGCCCGGTGCTCCTCCCTGGGGCTGGGTTTGGCCTTGGTTCTGCTGCAGCATGGAGCTTTGACCCTGCCCCATCCTGGGGGACAGCAGGGGGCTCTGCGGGGTCGCAGCCCCACATGGAAAGCCTGACACTGGGTCCTGGTGCTGCTGCTGCTGCTGCTGCTGGCTCATTCCTGCAGATCGGAGTGGACAAAAGGGGTCATAATTAGCATGCACGGCTATGATAACAAGGGTGGGAATCAACTAACAGTGTTTATTTCTAGTTAGTACATTATTCTACTTCTACTCTACTCTAAAATGTACTTACATACAAGGAATACTTAACTTATTTGGGGGTCTTACAAAACTTAATACAGAGAAGAAAAATGGGAACGATCTTGCCTCTAATGTCAGTACTGACATTGGAAAAATCTTTAAAATCTTTGCTTAATATCCAGTTCTTCGTTAAGGTGACCCTACAATTGAAAGACTAACCAATAACCTGAAGATAACAAGTTCAATATCCACCAGGCAGCCAGCGAGTCCATCTAACTAACTGAACTCTCTGAAGCCCCAAACTATTGTACAAAATCCTCACTTCAGAAACTAATAATCTGAAAAGTTCCAGAAGAACCCTTCCTTTTTTTGTCAAATGAGTGCATTCACAACAAACTTAATACACTGACAAAAGACACATGAAGTCAAAAAATAAAATAAAAGAGAAGGAAAGATAAGATTTTTGTTTCACCAGAGCCACCACCCGAGACATTCCCTACAAAACGTAGTCTCCTGATTGGTTTATGACAGGGTTAAAAGCACAGACAAAGTGTTAATTTGAGTGTTAAAAGCAGAAAATCCTATGCAACACAAAACGAGTGCAACATTGACATCATGCAACCTTCAATCACACCCAGTCAACTTAAAAAAGGACTTCAAATCATTACACCAGTCTGAACAAAGATGATTATGTTTGATTACCTCCACCACAACAGAACAAGCGACTATAGAGCCGAAGCACACACAGACTACTGTGACGCCACTGCTGTGCTCTAATCATATACCTGAACTGCTGAACTGGAAGGCACTGTGCTGAGATGGCGGACTCATTACCCCGCTGTAGTGCCCGCCTACATTTCCCATCATGCCCTGGCTAGCCAGATGATGGCTGGGGGAGAGAGGGGAGGAGAAGGGGCTGGAGGAGCCGGGATGAGGAGGAGGAGAGGGCAGGCCGGTACCGTAGCTGGAAGCCGGGTAGGGGAACTGCTGCGGGTTGCCCTGTGGGAGCCGTGGGTTGGTGCCGCCCATGGGCATCGGCGTAGGAGCGGCGCCCCCGCTGGGCATGTTAGGCGGCATGTTGATGCCCTGATTCCGCATCATCATGGCACGCTGCTGGTGCATGTGTTGCTGCTGCTGCTGCTGTTGGCGTTGGCGTAGGTGGTTGCTGAGGTACTCGCGCTGACGCTGGGCCAGCATCTGGGCGTTGAGGGCTCCCTGCAGGAGGACAAACAGTGAGGTGACACTAAGATTAAATGAAATAGGATGTCAACAAGATTCTACAGAAGGATTTACTAACCCTTAACACTTTTTTGCATTGTTGTTTTTGTATTATGGTTTACTGTACATTGTGTACAGAAATCATTTTTGTGTTTGACTGCAAATCAGGTTTCACATCTGAGACAATAAAATGACTGAACTGAACT